AAATTTGAGTCGCCGTAAAGAAAGACACGACTTGAGGCTCCAGGATCGGACCCAAGCCTTCCCATCGGACCTTTACGGGGGGGGGGGGGTCTAGCCCGGGATAAGCCAAGCATAAGCCCCCCTTCCCATAGCCCCGCTTAGGGGTCCATTTTTTTCTGTGGATCCCAGTTGCACGCTTTTGTAGGTAGGCCTTCGCTATTTTCCTTTGTTTGAAAGGGTGGCAAGCCCTTGGTTACCTACAAAACCAGGTAAATGCATCCAGTACATTAGCGTCACTGTTGTTGGATCCTGTTTTTACGTATTCAGGTCTGTTGGTTCTGTCCATTTTTCAGGGGTTGCCAAAACGGTCAGTTGGTTCCAAGCTCATACCAAGGGTTGGAAAGATATTTATTCCCAAAGCCTGGCCTTCTGCTTCTGTTGGTTTCCGTTTGACTCACTCAACCTGAGTTCCGCAACTCGGACTTTAGTATGATTGGGGTTTGGACCATATTGGCGGTAAACCTCTCAGTTTGGACTTGTTTTGGCCAATCCACTCAGGAAGTGAGTTTAACCAATCCAAAAACAAGACACCCTCAAAAGCACCAAGATGGGTGGGTGGGTGTCAAGTTGTCAGAATGAGAGCTCCTTTTTGGCATTCCTTTTGCCGACTTCCTACCTTTTGACTTTCCGCCATTCATGGCTTTCCTTGCTTTATCCTCACCAGATAGGATCACCTGGGGGTCGACTTGACTTGTGCGGCAGGAATATGGGTCTGGTTTCTTTGACGGTACCTTTTTCTGGGTTGTTTTAAAGGCATACCCAAAGGACACCAACCAGTTCACTTAAACAACGCATACCCATTTCACAAGTTGCCAGGGGTCTCGCGGCGATTCCAGGATTTGTATCTTCCCGTTTGCTTGCAGAGTTTGACCTTCGGGGATCTCTTTAACCAGAGCTTGCACCTTGGCTGATTTAGAATTTTGACCCCTTACTCTTTGGTACACGTGTTCCTCACCAAAGGTGAACTCTTTGGGGGGTAGTGTTTTCTTCCTAACCCAGAACTTGTTTGGGGAATTATGTGTTTTGAAACCTGCAAACCAACCAAGGTTTCAAGTAACCCTGCATTGGTTTGGATTGGTGGTTTGGGGATTTGAATCCCTGAATCTTGTAGAGAGTAAATGGGAGACCGCCCTTAACCACCCAATCTAAACCACCAACTAAGTAAGGGTTATCTGAATTAGCCCCAGTCGCTTGAGGTACCTTTTGGCAATTGGCCAAGGAGACGGCTAAAGGGGGGCTGGGAGAAAGGGTGACTTCCTTCACCCCTTAAAGCCCATTCCTTGGCTTATCCTTGGCTTATCATACCCCCCCCGCATAGGCCCCCTGCAGGTCCACGAGGGAAGCTGAAGTCTGAATCGGTTTGCTTCCATTTGCTGAAATGAGCATTTTCTTGATCTTCCCCGGTTCTTTTTCAGCGGATTCGATTTCAGTGGGCATATGTTCCAGTTTTTCCCCACGGGACCAAAGTTCATATCCGGCGATGGAGGTTGCACTTGAACCAAGGCACGATGTCCAATTGCCCGACTCCCTGCTCAGCTTGACCTTGGGCACCGGATACAACCAAAGCTTCTGGGGAGTGACTCGCTTCACTTCACCTTCTTCGGCCTTTAAAAAGCACCAAGCTTTGTTCAGTTTACCCAATCCTTGCCAGACTTTATTTACCGTAAGTTTTGCTTTTTGTCGTTCTTTTTGGCTGCGCTTTCCGTCATGATTTAGCTTTCAACTAAGAAAGCGAACAACTTTCAACTAAGAAAGCGAACAACTTGTTGCGGGTCTAAGTCTGGTCGTGCAATGGGACACCTACAGGGGAAGGATATCCCCCGATTTAGCCCGCTTCGATGTTGGAGTTTAGATTTATGACATGCCCGAATAAAGCTCAGTTGTCCAAAGCGAATCCTTCTTGTTTTCCCATGTTGGACCTTTCTTCATAAAATGTCGCAAGAGCTTAGCCTTTTATCTCTGAGTCCCAAAGGGGCGAGCTCAGGTTCGACTGCCCAGCAACCTTCGCACTCTGAAGTTTGGATGGGAGTTTCTCAGCTGGCGAATCGACCTGTTGGTTTTCACCCTGCTTTGTCTACCCGGACCCTCAAACCACCAAGTTTGGGAAATCTATTTTAGTGGCCACAAAAGGTGAACATCTTCTATCATCTTCTAACTATTTCTGGGTCAACCGAGGTTTTGCCAAAGTTTGAAGGGGTTGTACTTGCCAAGCAGCTTGCAGACGCTTGAATTTGGCAAGCTCGCCTTTGCTTCAACCACCGGGCTCTTTGATAAGCAGCCGTTTCCTGATCTCCGACACGGGCCGCATGTAGCGAAACTTCCACACAACATTGAGAGTTTGGCACTGGGCAGAAGCTTCAACAAGAAGATGCATGGAATCACTGCCAGTCTTAGCCGGTTTTTTGGTATGCTTTGCCTTTCCTGCTGTTTGCCTTTCATCCATCCACAAAAATCAGCCTTTTTTTCCAGGGGGTTGAGTCGCAAGCCAAGGAATCACTTGGCCCGCCTTGCAGAGCCTGTCCTTTGGTGACCAATTCAACCAGGGCTTGGTTGGAGTTCTGTGGCCCAGCCTGCAGAGCCTGTCCTTCGGAGCTGCGTTCAACCAGAGCCTGCAGGGGGTCACTTTGCCAGGAACCTTGAAACGCCTCGTCTTTGGCCGGCAATTCAACCACAGCTTGCTGGAGGTTGTATTGCCAAACAGCTTGCGCGAGCTGACATTTGGCAGCACTTTCAATCAGCGCTTGCAGGGCGTGACTTTGCCCAGCAACTTGCAGAGCTTGGTCTTCGGCCAGAGCTTCAACCAAAGCTTATCGGGCGTGGTTTTGCCAGATACATTAGAAATGTTGGTCTTTGGCAGCAGGTTTAATCAAAGCTTGCTGGACATCACGCTGCCAAGCAGCTTGCAAGTCCTTGAATTTGGCACACACTTCAACCAACGCCTGGTTGGTGTGACGTTCCCCGCAAATCTGCGGAGCATGAAGTTTCCAAGCAACCAGTTTCAGGAACGAATCTTGCAAGGGGTGAATTTGACCAGCTTGCGCCGAATCTGTGCTGGGCACGTCATAGTTGATACTGCCTGAGCATTGCACACGGTGATCGTGCTCGCAACAAGGACCTGTAGAGTTGGGTTTTTACAAGGCATGTACCAGGGCCACCTATTTTTCCCAAAAGGTCGCCTATGCAAAAACTAGGGGAACCCTCAAGAATCGGTTTTCCCCTGAGGTTCCCGCAGTTTCCCTTTGCATGCTAGATTGTTTATTTGTGTTACCTTTTTTAGCTGTTTGTCTTTTGGGGTGCTGTTCGTTTTTGCCATCAGCCAGCAAAAAGTTCATAGAACTATAATTGGCAGGGTGTCTAAGTCTGTCTCAGATTTGAACATCACTCTTTGTTGCTGTCTGCCCTTGTGGTTGGCGTTCAAGGGAAACGTAAAGGAAAACCACTATTTCGGGGGCTCCCCTTAAAATCAAGTCACACCCATTCCTTGTCTCTTTTGCCCAAAAGCCTACCGTTGAACTCGTTGGTTTCCCAAGTGATTATTTCTCGGTCCCACGAGTGTGAGGACGCGGTCGGACACACTCCATGGGATGATCATCTATATTAGGTCAACACGCCTCGAACATACACGAGGTCCGCAAGGGCCCCAAGGGCCTGCTTGACAAGCCTAAGCAGAAGTCTTCCCCCTCTTGGTCCTAAAGAACATCAGTTTCACTACTGGATGATTGTTATTTTTCAGTTGACTTAAGCAAGTCGAAGGTTTGGTTTCCAAGTCCACACACCCATTCCATTCTTCGGCTCAGGGATGGCGCTTTGCTCGAGATGAGACTTATGGTTGCCCGAGTTTTGTCGTGTTTTTTTTCGCACTTTGGCCCATTCAACCAGGGAGATACAATTGATGGACGAAATCCGTTCGCACAGACTTGACACCGTGGTTGAAACAGTTTGTTTGTTGGCATCTACCGGGGAATCATCATGCCAGGGCTTCTTAGGTGGTGCCGGACTTTTTCATCCACAATAGTTCACCTTAGCTCCGGTTTCACCATTGAGATTCTACATGTCTGAAGGTGTATGGTGCAAGCCTTGTTTACACAGGTAGAACCTTCTCACAATGGCAGTTTTGGGCACTCGCACATACGCTTCCAATTTTGGTTGGAGATGTTGGGCTTGTCTCCGAAAAACCGGAAACAAAACACCTAGAAGAAGCAACTGTTTGTTTTTTCTCGGTTTCCCTTTTAAGCAGTACTCTACTGCAGGTCTCCCTTTTGAATTGCCTTGCTGGGCTGAGGCTCGGCCCGGAAACAGCGTGGCAACCTCAAACCCTGGGGAACCAACTGAGGGGGCTACCGTCGCCATGTGTTTTTTTATCGTTTTTTCTTCCCCCCGTGTTGCCTGGCATTGTTCCTATGGGTGTTTCTCAAAATTGGGGACAGTTGTTTTCCAGGTAGGCGGTGTCCTTTTTCCCTTTAAAGCCATTCAAAGAGGGGTCCCCGTTTTTCTGAGAAGCCCCCCTTTTGGTGATTGCATTCTATAAGTCCAGCCAGACGGCTGGCCTTTCCAAGGCCCGCCGTAAGTCGGGCCTTGGGTTGGAACCTTCCGTCGCTTGGTGAAGTGGAACGATCCGCCCAGTAGCAACGATCAGCCCGACGGCTGATCCAAATCAACTGAACATTTGTCATCCGTCTACTTCAACCTGGGCCCAAAACTGTTGAAGTTGAAACATGTTGATTTTGTTCAACATTGGCCGGATCGAGCCTGGTGCTACTTCTTCCTAAAGCCGCGTAAATGAGGTCGCAACCATAGGTGTATATTTCAGGTTCGTATTGGTTAAAAATAGAAGGCGCTGGTCTAGATGGGCTTTATAAACCATTTACCAGGCAAACCCATCTATTTCTCCAAAAGGACACCTATGGCACTATGGTTGCAACCCAACTTTTTGGGGCCTTTCGTTATTTGTCCTTGCCAAGGCACCCTGGCTTCAACAACGACTTCCAGAAGACGACCTTCTCAGATCTGGCGCTGAGATACAACGACAAGAGCGTCCTCGAGAATTTCCATGTTGCGAGCCTTGGATTTCGATGGATTTGCATCGATTGACTTCGGCTTCGGTGGGTGGGGAGCCCCTTTTGCTTCCAGACACCACAAGTATCCAGGAAAAACCGTGTACCTAGAGGTAAAATTGGCTGTATTTGTTTTTGAGTTGGCACCACAAAATCGAAGCCCTTTTGGGGGATCCCCCCTGAAAAAGAAGGACTATGCAACCTGCAGCTATGTGCAGGATCTCCCCAAGGATTGCAGTTTCTGATGTTGACTTTTGCACATGCCTATTGACGACTTTTGGCGGGCAAAGCAAGCTTCCCCATGACCAGTTCTCAGAAGGCTCTTTATCGGGGGATACTTCTTGTTTGCAGCTGATGTTGGGCTAGGGTTTAATTGTAAACGCTTCGCGTTGCCCGCCTCGGCCCAGCCTAGTTTGAGGGAAGGGTCAGGAACACCGAAATCCAGTGTTGGGAAGGTCCGAATCCTACTGAAAGCTTGTGACCGCACCAGTTCGCCCGTGCTAGTTCGATGTTCGGAAGCCGGCTCGGAAGGTTTGAAATCCAAAACCAAGACTATCTCAGCTGCTCAGTGCCCTTGGAAAAAGGCAGCTTGGCTGGACCTTGCTTGCGTGGGTTGTTGGTTGAGCTGGGCCTGAAGCTAGTTTACGGCGGGCTGGGCAGCCGCACTGAGGGGGCTGGGCTATGGCTGGGCTGGGTCTGAGGCCAGTTTCAGACACGTCAGACAGGCCTGGCCAGCAGGCGGACTGGGCTGGGCGAGACGCTAGTTGAGCCCAGGCTGCTGAGGCTCAGTCTCGGCGCTAGATAGGCTGAGGCCTGCGAGTCTCAAACAGGGTGGGCTTGGGTGGGGTTTGCTTAGGCGGGTTGCTGGTTGGGCTGGGCCTGAAGCTAGTCTCAGCCACGAGGCTGCGAAGCCATGGTACGCTGTTGGTTGCGCCTGGAACTTCGGCTGGGCGGGCTGGGCTGAGCTGTGCTTGGGCGGGTCGCTGGATGGGCAAGGCCTGTCTCATACACACTTGGGCCTGAGGCTGGGTAGCGAGTTGCTGGCTGGGCTGGGCCTGAGGCCAGTCGCAGACACGTAAGACACGCCAGCAGGCGGGCTGAGGGACTGGGCCTGAGGCTAGTCTCAGGCTGGCACAGACTGCGCCGAAGGGGCTGGGCCTGCTGGATGACTTGGGGCCAGACACGAGCAGGAGGTCAAGGCCTGGTCAGCCTAAGCTGAGCTGCTTGGGCAGCCGGACTGAGGGGCACGTCAGACAGGCTTGGTAGCTGGCATAGCTTGAGACCAGTCTCAGACACGTGAGACTGGTCGTTGGCCTGAGGCCAGACACGTTAGACAAACCTGACCTTGGCACGCTGGGCTGAGCCTGCTGGTGGGCTGGGTGCGCAGGCTGCGAAGCCATGGGTGGGTGTGCCGGGCTGTGGGCGGGTTGCTGGATGGGCAAGGCCTGTTTCATACACACTTGGACCTGAGGCTGGGTGGCGCTGGGCCTGAGGTTAGTCTTTGAGCAAGATTGTCAGCACATTTTCGACAAAAATGGACCCATGGAGCTCAACGCCAACAAACCCCGAAAATTTCAAGGCCCGCCGGACAGGATTTGGGTGGGTGGGGCGGGTGGGGGGGGGGGGTGGGGGGTTGGGGGAGGGAAAAGCGAAGATTCTCTTTGGAGAAGAGATCTGAGCGCCCTTGGCCCCTTTGGGGCCGAGGCGAATTTCTCAATAGGCAGTAAGCCAACAAAGGAGCATTTATCTAAATTACAGGAGTTCCCTTGGTGCGTTCCATGTTCGGACGTCCATAGAAAGCTGGGAGTCCGAGGTGCCTGTGAAATTGGACTTGGCCCGATGAAAAACGAAGCCGAAACTCACGCCTGAGTTCCTGGACTTGGGTCACCTTAGCAAGACCAGTCTAGTGCAAATCAAAAGTCTTGACTCGTTTTTGTCAACTTAACGTTTCTTAGCAATACTACTTTAGTGGCAAATAGAAACATACAATGTGTTTCGCAAAGCTACTCGATCAGCAGTGAGTAAACGAGCTTCAGCTTAAACCCGCCAATTGTGTGTGTGTGTGTCTGTGTGTCTGTGTCTGTCTGTGTCTGTCTGTGTCTGTCTCTGTCTGTGTGTATCTGTGTGTGTCTGTGTGTGTTTGTGTGTGTCTCTGTGCGTCTCTGTGTGTCTCTGTGCGTCTCTGTGTGTGTCTCTGTGTGTCTCTGTGTGTCTCTGTGTGTCTCTGTGTCTCTGTGTGTCTCTGTGTGTCTCTGTGTGTCTCTGTGTGTCTCTGTGTGTGTCTGTGTGTGTCTGTGTGTGTCTGTGTGTGTCTGTGTGTGTCTGTGTGTGTCTGTGTGTGTCTGTGTGTGTCTCTGTGTGTCTCTGTGTGTCTCTGTGTGTCTCTGTGTGTCTCTGTGTGTCTCTGTGTGTCTCTGTGTGTGTCTGTGTGTGTCTGTGTGTGTCTGTGTGTCTCTGTGTGTCTCTGTGTGTCTCTGTGTGTCTCTGTGTGTCTCTGTGTGTCTCTGTGTGTCTCTGTGTGTCTCTGTGTGTCTCTGTGTGTCTGTGTGTCTGTGTGTGTCTGTGTGTCTCTGTGTGTCTCTGTGTGTCTCTGTGTGTCTCTGTGTGTCTCTGTGTGTCTCTGTGTGTCTCTGTGTGTCTCTGTGTGTCTCTGTGTGTCTCTGTGTGTCTCTGTGTGTCTCTGTGTCTCTGTGTCTCTGTGTGTCTCTGTGTGTCTCTGTGTGTCTCTGTGTCTCTGTGTCTCTGTGTGTCTCTGTGTGTCTCTGTGTGTCTCTGTGTGTCTCTGTGTGTCTCTGTGTGTCTCTGTGTGTCTCTGTGTGTCTCTGTGTGTCTCTGTGTGTCTCTGTGTGTGTCTGTGTGTGTCTGTGTGTGTCTGTGTGTGTCTGTGTTTGTCTGTCTGTGTCTGTCTGTGTCTGTCTGTGTCTGTCTGTGTCTGTCTGTGTCTGTCTGTGTCTGTCTGTCTGTGTCTGTGTCTGTCTGTTTGTGTGTGTGTGTCTCTGTGTGTCTCTGTGTCTGTGTGTCTGTGTGTCTGTGTGTGTCTGTGTGTGTCTGTGTGTGTGTGTGTTTGTGTGTCTCTGTGTGTCTCTGTGTGTGTCTGTGTGTCTCTGTGTGTCTCTGTGTATCTCTGTGTGTGTCTGTGTGTGTCTGTGTGTGTCTCTGTGTGTCTGTGTGTGTCTGTGTGTGTCTGTGTGTGTCTGTGTGTGTCTGTGTCTGTCTGTGTCTGTCTGTGTCTCTGTGTCTCTGTGTCTCTGTGTCTCTGTGTCTCTGCGTCTTTGTGTCTCTGTGTCTGTGTGTCTGTGTGTCTGTGTGTCTGTGATGTTTTTGTCTTGGATACAAGCCCAATTCAGTGCCCAAACCCCCAGAAGGCGATTTGGGTGCGTCGTTTTTTGGGAGGGAACCTTTTTGTGTCTGGCTTTAAACGGAAACCACAAGGACAACGATGCCAATTTTGGGTTCCCACAAAGGTTGTTCCTTCTGCCTGGGTATGTTTGGGATACAGAGGCCTACTGAAATTTGTTTACTGGATTGGTAGAACCAAAAGTCAACGGGTTTGGACCAAAAGTCAGGGGCCTTAGTGCTCTCCTCATTTGAATACCACCCACAACCGATATTGGTCAAGCTGAAGGCCCCGATAGATTGTCCCCGACCGCAAAATGGCCGTCCTCGGGTGGACTCTTACTGTGGGAATTACGTAACTTTGGCAGTTGTTTTTAGGTAGGGTCTAGTGGTTGGGTTTCCGTCTAACCCACTAAAAGTTAGTCACTTTTAGCAGATCAGAAAAACGGAACGCCTAGGTACCGGCAACTCTCCTTTTGCCCTTGCTTCCCTCAGTTTTCCAACTAGTTCCCTTCTGCAGGCTGGTTGGAGTCCCCTTCACCTAAGAAACACAAGAATGATTCGATTCCCCAACGTAAATACCAACAATCAGTTTGGTTTCAACCCATGCTTTGACTTCGTGGTGCGAAATGATTTCGTCCATCCATAGCAGGCATCACAACTCCCTGTCCGACATGAAGCCCTCCAAACGATCGGTCCCTTGAGGGGCATGGTTTTCCAAGCGCTTCCAGTTAGGTCGTTTGGGCGGGTACCTGTTGAGGTGCCAAAATGTGTGCTGGTTGGCAGAGTTCATCATTCTTTGTCGGTCAACTTTACTACTCAGTTGTCCAAATTCGACCAGTTGACCTTTTGGTCTTTCCATGTTGGTCCTATTATTTTCATCCATGGGCCCACAAACTCAACCCTTTTTTTTCTGGGTCCTTTAGACAACTGAGAATCAGGATTTCTTGTTGAGGGCTCGGTCGTTTTTGTGGCTTCCAGTTTCATAGTCACTGTTGGCGAGTCCGAGTACAAGTACAAGCTTCCATTTGGTTAAGAAAATGTTTTATTTCCCCCTGTTTGTTTTAAAGGCAAGCGATCACTACTGGGAATATGTCAGTTTTTCCAGGGGACTTAAGCAAATGGATGCAAGCCTCAGCTTTTGCCAATCAACTCACTCATTTTCGTCTCGGATGAATGAGCCCTTCCCATGACAAAGGGGATGTGCGGGAAGTGATGGTCTGAACCCCCATTTCAGTGGAAACACCCCCATCTCTCAAACTGAACCATTTCTCTGGTGGGTTCCACGACAGGCGGGTACTTTCCGGGGTTTCGATTAAGTCGGAAAAGTCGGATCCTTCTTGCATTGCTTTGGACCAGCGATTTTGGTTCAGCGAGATGGCAATGAGGAGTTGGGACTCTGGACCGGTCCTGGGTCCTGCCGTGAAGCGCTTTCGCATGGGGTTTGTGGTTTGTGTCAAACCCGCGGGCCCTCATGTGCATGGGTGGTTTTTGTTTGGTATGCGGACAAAAGCCAACACCACAAAGGCTAGCTCAAATCAAACCATGCAGATCCAAATGGGTCTTATAAAACCACACACCCAACTCAATGGCACTCTCCTCCGAGAAGGGTAGGATTTGCAGGTAAACGCTTGGAGAATTCGTGACCTGGAAGTTCTCCTATTAGAAAGGTGAGTCCCAGAACCGGGGTTAAAACCCAAGGCGGACCAGTCATGACACACATACCCGTGGTTCACGTGGAGAAGCATCCTGGTTGGGGATAAGGACAACCACAAATACGTGTGGCCGCTCTTGATGTTTGCTGTTTGCATTGGTTTTGGCAGACCCTTCTCGTACCAGGTTGTGATTCTGACTCGCCTAGAGCCTGGAGGGTTCGACGGACATGGCTCGTCCTTTTCACATTTTTCACGTGTTCCTATCCCGGCCCATGTTTGCAAGGTTCAGCTTCCATGAACAGGCCCTTTGGTTGCAAGATCCAAGCGGGAAGTCGATGCTGTGGTCGGCCGGAAGTTAAGGCAGGCTGCAGCTTGTAAGAACTCACCCCCTGTTTTCATGGACTTCATACTTTTGTGTAAGACCATTTTGGTGGTAAGCTGAAAGGTTTAGACTTTGTTTGGTCAATCAACTCAGTCAGTGAGATTCTGGTTGATTGCAACGTTGTAGGGTCATCGTGATGCTACAGAAGCGCCGTCTGCAAGCCTCGTTTGTACTTTTCCATTGTGCAGGGTTTTCACTGAAATGGTTTCAGTTAACTCAAAGTGAGATGAGGCAAAGATTTCACCTTGGGTTGGTGTCGCAACAATCCTCCCTAAACTGCTGGCTTGCTTTGTTTCCCTTCAAAAACCATCCAACATGGCACGTTCCGAATTGGGACAGACCCATGGGGGCCCTTCGGGACGAGGACCGCCTTCGAGTTGATGAGGGATGACGCGGCCGCTTGACACAAGATGGCGGGAGGTCCAGTCACTGCCACTGCATTTCTTGTAGGTCTAGGAATGGTGTTGCGGGGTTCCTGAAATCCACATAACCATGATCATTGGAGGAACATTTGTGTAGCGTACTCCCTTATACATTACCATTTTGTTCAATGGAGTCTGGGCTCTACCAGGGTCACTAGCAGACTTTTTTCAATCTTCTGGACCTTCACCCAAGGTTTTATCTTTCAAGGCCTAGGTCCCCCAGTAGTGCCCTTTTACCATGTCTTTTTTGGGGGAGGGTTCCCCTACTAAAATAGACAAAACCCGAAAAGCAAATCGGGTACCCTTATTATTCTAACCTCTCAAATCTGGAGGACCCAGAGGCTGTTCTGTTGAGAATTATAGCACCTGATGGCAGGCAACGTTTCTTGAGTGGGCACGCTCCAAACTGGTTTGGCAGTCACATGGCTTCAATGCAAGATTGTCTCCGTGGTGGAGATGAACCCCATATGGTGTTTTTCATGCTTTGCACCGATACTGTGGGTCTAGTTCCACTCCCTTCTTGATCTCATGGACTTTCGGTACCTTTTGGGTTTGGACCGTTTTAGTCGTGGTAAACTAAAAGCTTCAGGAAGTCAGTCCACTTGCACGCCCTTCTTGGGTGAAGCGCCAAGAAGTCCTACCATGGGGGCTGCCAGTCCAAGAGCAGCTCGCACCATTTTTTTGCGTTACGTTGCCTTTGTCCTAATGGGAACCGCGGATTTGTTGTAATCCCCTGGTGGATTCATAGGGGGGTGCCCCCACTTTAAGTGGGGGGGTTCAGACCTCTTTTGGAGTCGGAGGGAACACCCCCGATGAATAGGAGAGACTTATTAATTTGGTGTCAACATTATTGGGTTTGACAACACATGACGGATGGCCTGCATGACCAGTGGAGTCACTGAGATCCTGCGGGATGGGAACAATTGGAACGGACAGGTGTTTTGTTCACCAGATTTCTTGCAACTTCTGTCAGCTTCCACAGTGGCAAAAGCCGATGTTTTCCTGTTGACCCCGTTGTGGACCCATTCAAAGAGTGGGAATTCTCTTCAAGGGGTGCACAGCTTATGTTCGACTAAAACGCAGTAGGGCTCAATGACTAGCTGCTTTCGGCTGAACGCCCCAGAAACGAGTGGCAATTGCTCGCATCTGTAGTCCTTGCGCAAACGGCAATACTGTGGATGGACGAAATCCTGCACCACCAAAGAAACCCCGGAATGATGATTCTCTTGTAAACACCAACAAACAATGGCTTTCCATGGTTTCCAAGTGGTGCGAACGGATTCCGTGCATCCACAGTAGCTCTGTGCAAGTTCAAACGGCGGTTGCTCGCTACCTCCAGGAAGCGCCAGGCCGGCCCCGTTTTTTTGGTCCATGCCTTTGTCGGTGCGATTCACACGCCGTTGACCCAAACAGGATCCGGATGTTAACGTGGATTTGCGCAGGGCAAAGCCCCACTTATGGGTCGTTAGACCCACTTATGGGACATATGTTTCGGACCAAGGGGGTCCCGTATTCATCCATAGCCCTCTCTGTCATGGTGTTGGGCTGATTGATAGGATGGACATAAGCAGGTGCATCACCTTTTGCCCCTTTAGCTTTGATGCTGACACTGAGGCATATTTCAGCAGGATGGTTAGACTATAATAGTACTTACCCTCCCACCAATTAAGATGGAACCTGACCTCTGGCGGGACCGGGTCCCTGTCAGGCTCTCCGTGTTATTTGGTGGGAGGGTCACCTTGTTGTCCTTTTGGTTTTCCCATTTTGCCAACAAATTGTTCGCCATGGCTAGAGGTGAGCGCCATGGCCAGAGGTGAGCAGCTTTGATGTCTGAGTCTCGACTGGGGAAAGTGCAAACGCATGTCCCAGTTTTGTGGCGGGGCTCACTTCTCCCAATTTCCCCCCAAAAAAATCAAGGGCCCAAAGGTGGCCATAAGATAAGCCCAGGTATCCTGAACTGCGCAACCCCTTCTTTTGAACCCTCCCTGAAGTCTCGGAATTCCGGACCCCAAAGCTTTCAGCCGGGAACCCAGGACTGCAATTGGTTCGAGCTGCTGAATACTGAGTACACCGAGAACGAGGAGGCTCGGGTTGGATTCCAAAACCTTTCGAGAGGCTGAACTCAATCGGCTTGTCCATCCAAGTGACCCACCTTTTGCTCAGGGCTTGGAGTATCCCAGATGGATTTGTGGCTGGGTTAAGCTACCCGCTTGGATTCGAGAGGCCTTTGCGTCTTCTGTGAGAAACGTGTGTTTATGAGCAGAACTGATTTCCCTCATCTACCTGCCTATCCGGCATGGATTGCAGATCCATGACACGTTCTGCGAGTCTGCCTAGTACCCGACTAGTTGCAGGCTAGCAACCTACTAGTTGACATAGTTGTTCGAGAATACTACTGTAGATGGACCAAATCCAGCACCACTGGAACCCTTTGTCTCAAGCAACTCAGGAAAAGGCGCAGAGAAAAGCACGGGTTACGTGGACGTGTTCCTGGGTTTTCGCGTAGTCTGGTTTTTGGGTGCATAGGTTGCCGGTTTGCGACTCCCTCCAAGTGCTTCGCTTAGACCTGAGGGTGCCGACCTTGGTGCACTTTCATCTTGTTCCTTGACTCACCTCCTGAGTTCTGGAGTCAGTGGTTTCAGGGACATTTTGCCAATTTGCGTTTTCCATTTTTCTTTTGTGAGGAAGACGGATGCTCTCAGCTTTGTGTTTTTCCCCGGTGGGAAGGGAGACCCTTTGCGCGAGGACGTCTTCCATTGAGTATGCCAGCTGGAAAGGTGCCCTGAAGGCCAGTTCCACTGAACATTTGCACCAGGTGCCAGGTGTCTTGTTTTAGGTGACCCCCAACATCGCTTCGGTTTCTCTGTTGGTTGCCTGTACACCCACACGGAAAGGGGTACCCTCAAGCATATACACACAAACACGGAAACACACACACAGAGGTAGATCGTGCATCCCAGTAGGGTGTCTTCCACTGGCGTAGTCCATGAGCATGTGTGCCATGTGTGTCAAAATTGGTCTATGCACACCCCAAAGTGTGCTCCATGTGCTCCAGTTGACAGCCCTTCAATCCCACATAAGGGTCCTATGAGTAAGATGCCCTATTGACGCAAGCCATGTCCATGACCCACAGAAGTTGTGAGCATGGCAGGAATCCAAGCTTTGCACATGGCACCCTCAGTTGCCCCGATTCAGTTTCGCCGTTCAAGCTGGTTTTCGCCTTTTCAGTCTCCAAAAAGGTCACAAAGGTTAACCAGGGCTCGTAGGATACATTGGAAGGGACACATGCATTGCAATATGCGGAAGGGGATCCCCTTGTAAAGAGGGTGTTTGGATGCATCCTCGAACGTCAACCTTGGTTTCTCTTCAGGTCCTTCAGGCACGTGAGAAACATCCGGGTGAATCGGTTCGTCTCGCTAGGAGACGGTGAATCTCCAACAGCGGCTTGGTTCAGTCGAGAGTGCGGGGGTGTTTGTGTGACTTGTGTTTGAGTCTGTGTTGGTGTTGGAGTTGGTGTTGGCGTCAGTCTGTGTGTGTGTTTCTGTTTGTGATTGTGTTTTTTGTTTGAATTTGTGTCTGAATTTGTGTTGGTGTTGGTGTTGGCGTTGGCGTCCGTGCCTTTAAACAAAAAAAATAAAAGACAAAATGGGTACCATTTTAGGGGGTTAGTGTTTGTGTTTGTGATTGTGTGTGGAAAACCGAAGAAACTCCAAACATTGGTGGGCCTGCCCAGCTCCCCTTGGTGGTTTGATGTTTGACTCTTTCAGCTTTCCCATTTTGGCAACCGGAGTCGAGGGTGCAAGAGCTAAACCTGAGGTTGTTCGGGCCGGTGTCAAAACTATCATCTGGAGTCCCCTTTGGCAAACACACAGACCTTATTTTGTTGGCCGCCTCTTTGACATAGACATCTGGATGATATCTGACTTGGGGTACGTATCTGGTTGCAGTCTGCGTCTGCGCCTTTGAAGCGGATCCGCGTGGGGAAGCAAGCAAACCCGACCCAAAAAGGGCTCCCTACCTGATACCCTGATATCAGCCTTGTGGTTCTTCATCCCAAGTTTCGATGGTTATTTGAGGGCTCTGACAAACATGCGGACTCGAAGTTCTCAGTAAGTTTCTCATCCGATTGGTTTGAGGCTCTTTCCTATCCGGACAGAGGCTTTTCAATTTTCTCACCCTCCCGTGTTTTCCTTCCTGTGTTATCGTTTGCAGAATGTGAGGACCGTTCCATGCGCCCATTTCCTCCGGAAATGGTCTCTGTGGTCGGTATACTTCTCCTGGCCTCTTGGCCGTCCCTAAGCCCTTAGGGCTGTCCTGCAAGTTAATAGCACTTGGGCACTTTAACGCACACTCTTTAAACTACCTCGGTCTAGGTTCGTGGTTCTACCACGTCCTGGTGACGAACCGTCGTCATGCGGGAGCACAAACAATGTTGCAAGTCTGACGCAGTTCATATGGGGGTGTTTCCTCCAAAAGCAGCCATGAACATGATCCAAGTGAGTTTTGACCATTGCAGATATGTGTGTTTCTCAAGGGACCCCTCCGGGTAGTGGGTTTAGTTTGGGTGTCCTAAGGATCCGAAGTTGGAGCCCGGAGGTACGTGCGGCGGATGCTGGTGTCCATTGTGCTGGGCACGGACATGGCGGGGGGCCTAAGAAGCAGGCCTTGGGCGTTGTTTGGACGTGGATGACACCTGAGAAACCATGGTTGAAGCCAGAAGGTTCGTTGGTATTTACAGGATGATCGTGGCAGGGTTTCTGAGGTGGTGCAGGATTTTTTTTTATTTATTTTTTTCCATCCACAGTATTTAAGTCGCCAACTTCAGCCATGAGATGATGTCCTATAATCGGGCACCCCAAAAGGTGCTGCACGGGACGCTGGGAAGCCCAACCAAAGGGGAACCTTTGCGGCGCTGCTTTGTTGCCCTTTGAAATCAACCCGATCAAAAAGAGTCGAGGATCCCCTCAGAGAATTGCTTGGCGAAACTAGACGTGCACCCACCCAAAACTGGGCGTGCCCCCTTTTATCCCACGAGATGGTGGTTGGGAAGCCCTCACCAAGGCGAAGCACAACCGGCACATGAAGCACCTCACCAGCGTGGTCGAGGCGCCCTCACGACACCCGCGCGGCGAGGTTCTGATCCAAGTTCTCGAGGCGGTGAGAGGAGACCCAAAAAGTCGCCCCCTTTTTACTGCTAGGTCCCCCAATTGGTGCCCTTTCTCACCCCTTTTTGTGGTTGGGAGGGTTTGGGGCCCCACTACAATAGGCAAACCAGCAAAAAAATGGTGCCCTTATTCTGACCTAGGCTCAAAAGCCATCCTCCTCAGCCAGTGTTGACAGTGTTGGTGAAAGTTGCCATTGCCGGCAAACCGTCAACTTGCGCAGGCGGTCGAAGAGCAAGAACAAGAAACACACGGTTCACTTTTGCCAGAAGCGATGGAAACCACATATCACCTTTCCGTGTTCCCAGTTTGGCAACCATGGTTTTCCGCGTGTGGGGTTTTACTTGATTTGGGCTGTAGACTCCTTTTGAATCACGTGTCCAAGGTCCAAGGACTAGGTTGATGCATTTTGGTGTCGGGGTGGTTCCAAAATGAAGTCTTTCCAGGTCCTTTGCAAAGGGAGGCTTCCCCAAACGGATTCTGAGCCTTGGTTTCTTTCTTGGTGGGTTCTGCTCGTTATGCTTGAACATCGGCCAACAAAGCAAAGGTGCAGTTGCTTTGCATGTGTTTTAGTGGTTAGTTCGTTGGTACTGCTCGTAGTTAGAAGGGGTGGGGGCTGGTATGGTAGCAAGGAAATCGTGCTACCAGAGTAACGGTTCTTGCAGGGTGTAGTTGCTTTCTAACATGAATTGCGGATTAATATGGATATTTGGTTTAGGCGGGAAAGTGCCTTACCCCGTACCCGTCACCCACCTATCCCCCTTCCCCCTCATTGCGGTACCCCCTTACCCCATCCGCCAGGCCCGTTCCCTAAATTATAGATCGTGGGTGCCTTTTGTTGAGGAGGCCAGCTCACCCAAAATCTGTTGGGGAACCACGGTTTGGCGAATTCCGAGGCAAGGCGGCAAGGTGTCCAATGGTCCCAACCCAAGTAACTATGTTTTGGCTACAAACTCAACCGCCGTCCCACATAGAGGCTAAACGAGTGCCCGTCCTCCTCACAATGGGGAATCCACCCGAACGAGCCCAGCCTTGGATGGGGAACACACGAAAAGCAACCCCGCGAGGTATATTGTGTTGCCCAGTTTTTCAGCACCACGCTTTTTCTGAGATCATGGAAGAATCGTCAGCCCCCCCCCCCTCCCCTCCCAAAAAATCCCCCCCCTCCCCTCCCAAAGAAAAAACCGACCACCCCCCTCCCTCAAAAAAAATAAATAAAAATAACAAATAGACCCCCTCTCCCCTCCCCCCCCGCTCAAACCACAAAAAGACATGGACCCCCCCTCCGCCTAAGCCCGAATCCCACCCCCTTACTCCCCCTCCCCCCAAAAAGAAGAAGAACAGCAGAAAACCGGGCAACTTTTTCGTAGCTGCTTCTTCGCCTTTGGCTTCTCCCATTCAGCTGAAAGGCGGAGGCCGTGGAGCTCCGGGGCCAAGAGGCCATGGACAGGACCAAAAGCTCCCGGGCGCGTCTCGGGCGTAGGCGTCTCTCTCGGCACGTCAGCCGTGGCCATTTTGGGTTTGGTGGCCATTTGGGTGTGGCTCAGTTTTGTTCAGAGCTGGGGTTACGCAGGTTTTAGTCTTTGGTTCCATTTACCAAGGGGGCCATTCTAGTACATGTTTTTGAGCCACAGCCATTTGGCGATTCAACCAGCGAATCCTCAGGTTCAACTCTTAGGTTCAACTGTTGAAGTTTTAGATGTTTAGTTGGTTTAGCTGTTGGGGGTCTTAGAGTTTGACCCACAAGTTTAACAAAAAGAATAGCAGGGGATCTGAAAACAGCCCACTTTAGACTTCCTAAGTTCACGTTACTTGTTGGGTTTGGAGCATTTTAGTGGCATCACAAAAGCTTGATTACTTTGTTTGGCCAGTCCACTCAGGAAGTGAGCTGGTCACTTTTGGGGTTTGGTTGCCATTTTAAGCAAACACAACGGAGACTTTTGTTCTTGCCAATCCACTTGATTGGAAGCGCGAGGGGTGAGAGACCCGTCCGAGTCGTTGACATACACCCAAGGGGTCGCGAGCCCTTTTTATATATATATATATATATATATATTTGGAGAGGGGAAAGCCCTCAAAAAGATCAGCAAACCGTTCGCCCATGGAAACTCGCGGAAAAAATGGTTTCCAGTTCCGTCAAGCCAGCCTTTCCTTTGAATGCGAACACAACCAACAGGAGCATGGCCGGTGGACTTCTTCGTTTTTGTAACTGGGCTCGGCGGGGAGGCCAGCTCTGAATAGACCAAGAATCTGCGGATTCACAAAGCTACCAGGTGGTAGGTTGATCCTAAAGGGTTTCACCGCCAACTTCACCCAGGATTGATGCAACCCTGCAAATATTGCGAGAAACCACCAATTCCAACGGGTGCGGTTGGTGGGTGTTGTATATCAGTATAGTTTGATTGATCGATTTTGGTCCCTTTGTTAGGGCTGCTGAGCGAATTTGTGAAACAGGACATCCGAATTGTGGCTGCGAACACACGTCTACAGAATACGCATGGCACAACACGATGTCCGCGCGACAAAAACGAAACAATACGTATTATTATGGAGCACGGGAACACTTGTCAGATGATGAGTGCTTCCCAAACATATTTGCAATTGATGCGATGTTCTTGCATGGTTGATGAATTCGCTCTGTAACCATGTTTGGTTGCTTGCAACGCCAGCAACTGAATGGGTCCTGATCGTCCCATGTTGGGGCACGCCATGTGTTTCCAATGTGTGCGATAAGTTGGTTGATTGCATGATGACATATTTTGATGTTCCTGTCCACAGAGAGAGGGAACCAAGCAACATACTGTTGGTATTTATCGGGCCATAATCAGAAACCAGGGTTTCTTAGGTGGTGCGAAATGGATTTCGCAACCATCCACAGTATGTTAAGACAAGACCCTTATCCTGTCTTGATGGAATTCGGTATGAACAGGTGGCTTGCATTGGCGCTGAACGCGGTTTCAGTTCGACTCAGCTCCAATCACAAAGGGCCGCGTCGGCTCAACTGGGTGAGGGTGAAGGGGATGGAACGGTGTTTTGCAGTCTTTCAAAAAGGCGAAGGTTCACTTCCCGAGTTGGCCTTTAGTCAAGTGTTGATTCGGACCAGGATGTGTCTCCTTTGGGGTATTTGTTTTTGTGGGCTTGAATGGAAAAGCAAAAAGGCAAACCGCCATTTTGGGGGTCCCAAACAAAGACACGCCACCCATTTTAGTATTTTCTTTTGGGAGGGTTCCCCAAAAAAAGACACACCCGTCTTAGTGGCAAACGAGTCGGAAGTGAGACCTCCGATCAGGTTCTGGTCTCAACCGTTGCCGCAGGACTGTCTTCCTCTTGACGGCAATGGTGCACGCGGCGGATGCTCGGCTTCTTCCGGGAGGGAAAAAGCCAGCGACCACCGAAGACCACCGGACGCCGCGAGATTTTTTTTTGGGCGTGAGCCCAGACAGTCCTTTCCAGAGGGTACCAACTCATGGTTGTCGTTGGGAAACATTTTACATTTTTGCTTATTGTGGTTTAGTGGAAAATCCCCACTTAACTGCTAAAATTTAATTATTTGCTCCCCTTCCAACGTCAACCAAGAACTTGGGTTAAAGAGAAGCCAAGGGGTTCTACAAAACAAGGGACCCTGCTGGAAGGTCACGGGGTCGTCTGTGCATTCAATCCTGGTGTCGTCTGTGCATTCAATCCTGGGGTCGTTTGTGCATTCATTGTTTTTTGGGCTCACATGGCATGATAATGGACTCGATGTGTGGTCACATGTGTCGTGATAAGTGTGCATGCTTCTTGGAACGTGTTCTTTGTCGGCGGTTAGCCAGAGGTCCACCCAATGTTCAAATGTCGTTTTGAGGAGAAACAACATGTCCGTGGCTCAAATCAAGCCAATAACTTGCTGCCCTGTGGACCATATCTGAAGGAAATCTTCACACTTGAACATGTGTGTTCTAATGGGATTCGGTGTGGTCAGTCAGTGGTGCCAGATGTCCCCTCCATCGACTTTACAGGTTCCAGAAGGAAATTATTCTGCCTGATGCCTTTAATGTTGACCCAGGGTTAATAAACCGACTGAGATGTGATGGGCGCAGCTCGGCGATAGCTATGTCCATGGATCCTCCATCATGAAGCGACCTGCCGCCTTCAAGCGGCCATCCGCAGCCGCTGCGACGGTGAAGTCCACGGTGAAGTCCACGGTGAAGTCCAAAAAAGACATCTACACGGTGAAGTCCACGGTCGCGCACGACGGCGACCCGTGGACGGAAAAGCAGGTGGTCAGCAAGATCTCCGCGTTTGCTTGCACAGAGGAGCAATACGTGCGTGTGTCCACGAGCAAGAGGAAGCGATCTAGTGGGACGATGGACTGGAAGTTTTGGTGTATGACGTGCAGTAAGTGCACGTGGTGCGGCTGGGCATCATATTTCCCATCTCAGAGATCGCTTTCCATCAGGGCCACGCCCACATCTTGTCATACAGATTTCAGCAAGAGTTTTGGCAGCACTGGCGTGCATCTTGTTTTTTCCGCAGATGTTGTTTACACGCAGGGGTTCTGACGGTAAGAGTTAAGGCCGGCTTAGATCGAGGTTCGCACTCAAATCGCTGGCCCTGTGCGCAGAAAGTTGTCTTCGCCGCGACTGACTCGCGCGAAATGGAGGCGCGGGCTGACGCGTGCGTCCCGTTATGGTGCCGTTCGCATTTTTTTTGCTGGCAGGAAACAGTTGGAAGGTTCGCGCTATGTTTTTTGAGGAAGCCTCGTGCCAAACGCTTTTTTTTTGAAGCAAAAATGCATTTTTTGCTGGCAGGGACGTGGGTACGCGCTGGTGCGTGTGAGGTTCGCGCTGTGTTTTTTATGAAGCCTCGCGCCAAAGGCGAAGCGCACTCCCGCAGCTCCGGCTACAAAATCACAAGTTTTAAGTACAAAAATAGTGCGCGAAGAGCTTTCAGAGAGCTCCGGCTGCAATGTCGCAAGTTTAAAGTACAAAAATAGTGCTCGAAGTCCATTCCCGCAGCTGCGGCTCTGGCTTGCAAATCGCAATTTTTATTTACGAAAAGTAGTCAAAGCACAGCGTTGCGCGCAAGAGAAGTTGACAGGATAGGTTGTTCGAAGCGCGATGCCAAGCTTGCTCATCAGAACTTGCAGAAGCTACGAAGGGACACTGATGTGTAAATTTACGCTTGCTTCTCATCTTGCAGTGGGCGAGGTGTCAGGGTCTATTTAACGTCTTTCGACGCTTCCGGGCCACCCGTCGTCAAATTGAACCCAACACTAATTATTTGGGGTCTCTTGCCGGGATAATTTTAACATGAATGCAGTTTCGTGTGTTCCCATCGCCAGTTACTGCAGCTGCACTTTCGGGAGGTCGCCTTCCTTGCATATGTTTATCGTTTCAGCTAGTTGGTTCGCCATCCTCAGTGTGAATTATTGCCGAGGACGCGCTCGCAGAAAGAAGCGCATGGGCTGACTGTACCCACGAAGAAATTGATCCGCGAGTATCTCTTGGCAAAGCAGAGTTTCCGCATTGAGCAGCTTCTCCAGGCCAACCGCACCCATGTTTTTTTTTATTGTGTTGCTCAAAGCCGTTTGCAGCGGTTTGGGAGTGTGTTTGGTTGTGACAGCCTAACATCAGCTGGGTAAGAAGTAAAGCTGTTACAGTTGCAGTTTGTCCGCCGCCGCTTGTTTGCAGGAGATTGCCAAAAAGCGGACTCAGCCCAAAACCCCAGCAGAAGACGCAGTTGTGAACTTTGTCAAGAACATTCCAAAGCGCGACAAAGAGGCGCGCGTCGATCCATCAGTAGTTCGGGCTGCGCGCAGTTGGTGTCGGCTCTTCTCCCTGGCTTTGTTCGATCTTGTGCTATCAGATTGCCTCACATGTGGTTGCTCATGCAGACCGGTGCATCGATCTGTGCGGGTTCAAGACCAACGTTGCGGCCATTGGGTCGCAGCAGAGAAACCAGAACTGCTGCTCATTTCCGCGTTGTTTTTTGCCCTCAAGGCTGAAAGGCCGTTCGTGGAGTCAGGATTGTTTGGCTTTCACCAAATTAGCAAGCGCAGCAAGTTTCAGACGAGTCGGGCTGGTGTTTTTTTTGTTACTCAAGGCATTGATTGGTTTGTTTGAGAGGGTGCAAGGTTATTTGTGATGTTATCTCCATTTGGTAAGTTTGGAGAGTGTTCAACGGTAGTACCTTGTCAGGCTCATCGCTGGAGATGGATACAGTAGTACACTAGACTAGAGGGGCGGGTGGCCGCGTATGGCCTTGCGCCAGGTCAGAGCCGGTGCTAAATGGCTATCGCAAGGCTCTTGGAACCTTGAAGACTGGGAGCTTCTGGCTGATACGTCTCCGAAGCTGGAAGAGCACGGCGGCACGGACGAGCATGACCTGTGTCTAGTTGAAGCCCATCTTGACACCGAGTTGACGATATCATACACTTCGCCGCGGCTTCTGCGTGCCTCGTCTTCTGCCATTTGTGTGTAGACTGTGTACAAATCATGTATAAACATATATATATATATATTTATATATATATATATTTATATATATATTCTGGTTTGTGAGTTCGGGTTGACCGGTTGGCGCGCGGATCGGCATTTCTTTCTTGCTGAGGCCTGTGGTGGTCTCGAATGTGCAACAAGACATTTTTGAGAATCTCTGGCGACGGAGTCTTTCGAGTGGTGTTCGAGGGCCTCATTTTGATATGCTTAGGGTTTCTGGCGAAATCTTGGTCTGCAGACAAATGCGACCGCGGAGAGGACAACTGGGCCACCAGCTTTCACGAAGTTATTTTCGCCATCGCAAAGACGGAGTCGCAGATATCATATACGCGAGTTATTGATGCGTTTGCCAAGGCGATGAAAATTTGCTGCGGCGTGGATGATGCTCTGGAGCGCGTTGGCCAATTTCATGTGGATTTGAGTGCGGCGGCAGCAGCGATGCACCAATCAGTGCTGCCTCACGCGCTCTTGGCTGACTGGGCGCACTTTGTGGGCGCTGTGCGTCCAAAGGTGCATGCTTCACAGGCTGGGCTGGAGCCGTGGTCCTGATAATGTTCACCCCGTATTTCCCCCCCCCCCCCCGACAAGGTCAACAAGGTCTAAAAAAGAGTCCATTTTTTACTTTCCTGGCCTGCCCCTCTATATAATGTGGCTCTGTCTCAGTTTGGATTCTAGTAGGACACAGCGGGGCTTTGTAGTGGAGAGAGCTGACTCATACCAAAAGGGCTTGCCTGGCAATTTGGCTTGAAATTTGATTCGTTGGTTTTTTTTTGCGGCTTGGGGAAGGGGCCGTGACAAATGCACGAGGGGTTCGTTCATATTATTCAGGGGGGCAAGGCCCTTTGCGACCTTGAAACGACGTGCTTTGTGGCTACGTTTTTTGTCAAGCTGGCTAATCCCAAACCGCAGTTTTCGCAAACTGTGGCAGGCTCAAGACGAGCGGTCAGTGGTCTGGCGGACTGGAGCATGGAAGACTGCAGAGAAGAACTTACGGGACAAGGGCCTTTTGCCACTGGTTCAGAAGGCTGTGTTGGCTTCCCGCCACTTACCCAGGCCCGCTTTCAGTGAAATGTACGAGCGCGGAGAAGGTGCATGCAAAGAGAGCTTTCAGCGCTTTTACATGCACAAGGATAGCGAAGACAAGTGGGCTGCTGGGTGGGGCGGTGCCAGGAAGTTACTCGGGCACTCAAGCTCAAGAACGGTGGCATGGCAGTCGACTGCGGCCTAGCCTGACGCACACCAGGATACCCGCTGGAGATGTTGTCTCTGCTTTGCAGCGGCTTTGCAAGAGCCGAGCGGCCCAGGCGAAGTTGAAGACGGAGCCATTGTATGATATCCCATCATGTCATTGGTCTAAGTATTTACAGCAGGAGGCCAAGAGGGCGCTCGCGCTCCCGGAGTTTTTCCGGAAGAGTGCGGGGGAGGATGGCACTGTTTCGTACATATTCCGGCAAGAGTACTCAGAAGATGCCAGGCGGTCAAAGTGCGCTCTTTGTTGCTGGAAGGAGTGCTGCCTACTGGCGCAGGTGATCTGGCTGCGCTTTGCGACGAGGTCGCGCGGTGGGTGCTGGTGCTGCTGGGGCCAGAGGCCACACGGCGGTGGCGCCTTACTCCGGACCGGGCTATTGATCTGCTACCTGCTTCGCATCATCACGCTGTGTGTTTGAACTGCCTTCGCTGTGAACGGCACATGTCTCCACTCTTACGCGGCGATGATGGACGCAGGGATCATCGGTCAGCAGGTTCCATGGTCGGAGCCGCACAGGGCTGGCCGCGGGAAGAAGAGGTCGGCCAGCTGCAGCGTGGTCCCGAGCCAGCCCGGCCCGAGTCCACTGCAACTTCTGGTAAGCTGAGCACTCTTGCGGCTGCAGC